CTATGATCTAAAATCCCATTTGTACATCTGTTTGTTTATGGATGCAGTTTTGTCAATTATCTCTTTGTCTCATCCTGGGTGAGACATACTGAGTCAACTTGCTGGTTTGGCTCAAGCCTTGTAATATACTGGGTATCAGGAAGTGCAATCCCTGGGGAGCTTCATACCATTGAAAAGTGGGGTGCACCCTCAGCCTCCCCCACTCCGTGCTCTTCCTACCCCAGGGTTCAAGGGGTTCCCCTGTCTTTAACCAAGTCTGCTCCTAAAATACTGTCCCTCCTGGGATGCAAATGACAGAGAGCAGATTATAATTTTTTTATTGTGAGATTATTTATTTGTTTATTGTTTAAGATTTTTATTTTAAGTGATCTCTACACCCAATGTGGGGCTTGAACTTACAACCCCGAGATCAAGAGTCACATGCTCCCCCCAGCTGAGCCAGCCAGGTGCCCCTACTGTGAAATAATTTAAATGTGCCAATAAGAGCGAAGAATACTAGAATAAGCATCTATTTTGGGTATAGAATAAGCATCTGTACTCCCATTTATGAAACCTTCACCCCATGCCATCTGTGTTTCAGGTTTTTAAAGTAAGAAATAAATTATAGCAGCAGGGTGGAGGCCCCACACTACTCATTCGATGTCCATCGTTCCCATATATAAAAACTGTCCCACTTTTCCTGCCTCCTTGTGTTCAATGACCTTTTCCGGAGGACACCACCTCTTCCCCCAGAGGACCTGCTCCTAGCAGCAAACCAGTTTCCCTTGAAGGAGAAACTCTCTAGTGTTGGAATCAGACATCGGGGTGGGAGAGCTGAGCCTGCTCTCCAGGCGGGGGCCCTTCTCTCTGTTCTGGAATCATCTCATACAGATAAGGACAGGTTCAGGGAAGGGCTGAGTCTGGAGATTTTTCTAGGCGATAGCTCAGAAAAGGCAAGGGGGAGGCAGGAGGTGGGGGCTACAGCCTAAGAGCAATCCCAGCAGAGGTGGGGAAGGGAGAGTTCCCAAGGGGCTTTAGGACCGGGGAAGGAGCCCTCATCCCTGCTGGAGGTGATCCCAGCACCAGGCAGCAGCAGGGAAGAGGCGGTCCCTGGGACAGCTGCTCCTGCAGGGGTTGGAGGTGGTGCCTCGCAAGCCCAGTGGGTACAGCTTTGTGGGGTAAGTGCAGTGATTCATGCTTAATTCCTTCCTGGGGCGCAGGAAAGCTGTGCACAGCTGGACCACACAGTCCCTTCTGCAACCACTTTGCCCAGGGACCTGCCTGTATGCAGCCCTGACTGGGTCTCTGGGGTGGGTTTCTGCAGACTTTATTGCCTTGCTTGCTCTCCTTCACACAGATCAGCCCCTCTGCTTGCTGCTTGTCTGTACCATGCTCTCAGATCCATTTCTTCACTTCCATCTCTGCCTCCACTGCCGGTGGAAAACCAGACGCTGGACTCAGAGCCTCCTGACCCACTCCCCGCCCCGCCCCCACCCGGGCTAGTTAGCCTTCCCTAATACGGCTCTGATGACGCCCTCCCCTAGCAGGGTCACCCCGTTCTTCTGACCGGAAAAGTCTCCAAGTGCCTTGATCAGAGAGAGTCTTGCTTGCTGCAATCGGCCTCTGAGCTGGAAACTGTCCCGCTGCCTGTGTCCACGCCCAGCCTCGCGCCCCTCTGGGAATCCCCACTTGCCCATTTTCCTTCCCCGCACCACCCCCCAGGTCCCCTGCCAAGGGCATAGCTCTTTCTTCTCTCAGCCTTGCCTTCCATCTGGCATCGCTGTATCAGACAGCTCGCCTCTCCCACGAAGGGAGGTGCTTATTGCAGGTCCTGCATGGAAAGCGCCCAGGAAATGGCTTCTGGTTGGAGGATACTAAGTTAGGGATGACTTTGACAAAGCAGAGCCATCTCTCGGGAGCTTGGAACTGCTCTCGGAAAGCCTAAGCAGGGGGTGAGGTTACCTCTGGCAGTGTGTGAAACCTCAGCCTTCTCTCTGCTTGCTTGGCAAGGGGGAGCCATCGAGCCTCCCCGCCCTGCTTGCTGACCCCAGGAGCGTGCCCAACCACGAGTCACTCCTCCAGGAGATGTCACACAGGGGCTGTGCAGCTGGGAGTGAAGGGTTTGGGACACCTGGGATGGGGGGAAGCCTTTCTCTGCAAGGCTGTCCTAGGATGGGATGGAGGGTGCGTGATCCCAGCCCGTACTCGCTGTGGGCCTTGGCCACCCCCTACCCTGTCAGCAGGAAAGGAGAAGCCACTGCAAGGGTATAAAACAGAAGAATTGTTTTTATGGTAGTTTAAACACTTTATGCACATATGTACATACATATGCTTATCTGTATATATCATTCAAAAAATACGTATGCATACATACATATACGTATTACTAATTATTTTGAAATTATTTTAATTAAACTTAAGGCAAAGGTGTAAACATAGTACAGCGTGTTCCCATGGACCTGTCCAGCTTCCCCTAATACGAACACCTTACCTCACCATAGTACAATAATGAGAACTAAGGATTTAACATCGGTATCATAAGACTTTATTCAGATTTCACCAGTTTTCCCACGAACATCCCTTTTTCTGTTCCAAGATCCAGATTTGCATCCAGTTGTCATGTCTCCTTATTCTCCTCCAGTCTGTGCATCCTTCCTGGGTCTGGTTTTCCATGACCTTGACTTGAGGAGTGCTGGTTACTTGTTTCATAGAAAATCTTCCTGATTAGATTGAGGTTGTACATTTTTGGCAAGAACACTTCAGAAGCACGTCATACTCGGGAGTCCACGATGTTGATAGGCTTGGTTATGGCCAGTGTTATCCCCCATCTCTCGGTTGAGGTGGTGTCTGGTGGATTTCTCACTTTCCTTCATATAACTAATTAATTAATATATTTATTATACTTAATAATTGATATAGTTAATAAATATATTGGGGGAGATGCTTTGAGACTGCAAATATCCAGACAGAGGGAATTTAATCCAGGCAATTGGTTACCCAGATGATAAAAGAGCTGAGAAGCGAAATAAGCCAGATACTAGCAATCCCAGGAAGCCAATCCCACCTCCAGGCCTGAGGCACAAAAGGAGGAGATGGTGTTGCCAGAGCCCAGGAGTCAGGGTCATGCACAGAAGGCTCATCTGGTGAGGTCTGGAGCCATGAAGGAGACCCAGTCCCTGCTGGCAGGGCCCTCCCTGAGGCACAGGGAGAGGGGAGAAACCAGCACCTTGGCTTCTTCCTTCTTTCTGCCTCCCAGTGGCCGAACCCAGCTGGAAGCCAGCTGACACAGGAGGCTGGGAATCCTAGTCTGCAGGGGTCAGCTCCTCGGCAGTGCCCAAGAGGGATGGGCCAGATGTGGCTGTTAGGACACATTTGCCCGGGACTGCTGCCCCACTGCTTCCCTCGAGCTGTGCCATCCAGTATCATAGCCACTAGTCACGTGTGTCTCAAACACTTGAAATGTGGCTGGTCTAATTGGACATGTACTCTAAGTAGATTTCAAAAACTTGGTATGGAAAGAAGAATATAAAAGATCTCATTAATACTGTTTTGGGGCGCCTGGGTGGCTCAGTCGGTTAAGAGTCCAACTCTTGATTTTGGCTCAGGTCATCATCTCAGGGTTATGAGATCGAGCCCTGCACAGGGCTCCGAGCTCAGTGAGGAATCTGCTTGAGATTCTCTCTCTCCCTCTCCCTCTGCCCCTCCCCTCCCACACATTCTCTCTCTCAAATAAATAAATTAAAAAAAAAATAATGTCATATGAATTACCTGTTGAAGTGATCATATTTTGGATATATTGAGATAAATAAAATATATTATTAAATTTAAGTTAGGCTTTTCCTTTTTAAAATCTGGCTGCTAGATCATTTTAAATTACTTCTGTGGCTCCTATTTGTGGTCCTCGTCTTATTTCATTTGGATAGCGCTGCTCTTATACCGGCCTGTGTCAGGGGCTCTGTGACAAAGGTCGTGCCCTTGACCCACAGTCAGGAGGGTGTGACCAGCTAAGGTTTTATAACACGGGGAACTGCACTGGCCTCGAGCCGTTCACACTCACTCTGTTTTGACCAAGTATGTCAAACAGAGATATTGGGCTCCTCCGCTCTTCGTGTGTTGGTGTGGGTCAAGGTCAGTGTTCAACATTAGCCTAAGGGGCTAGATAACATTTAACGAGAATTAAAAACACCACCGTATAGCTCGATGACACCTTACAGAGGAAAAGCTGTACTGTTACAACTACTTAATATCTCTACGGTGTTTTTATACGTTTACAGAGGTCCTTCATTTCAACCTTGCAGTCAGCCAGCCTGGCCGGCCCTGTTTTGTAGATGCCCAGACAAAGTCTGGGAAATCCATGGATTTCAGCGGCTCTCAGACTTCTGGTGCATCACTAGGGAGTTTGTCAAAATGCAGCAGCTCAGCCCCACCCTCACTGAGGGTGGAGGGTGGGGCCCAGGGACCCCCGTGCAGCAGGTTTGGGGGGAATCTCATGCAAATGGCCGTCAGACCACACTTTGGGGCACCGCAGGTCTCTGAGCTCTTGAGGAGTGAATGCTGGGACTGGGCTGGAGCCAGGCTTCTGATGGCCAGTCTGGGTCTCTTCCTGTCAGCCCACAGGTCCATTGTCTCCTGGAGCTGGGTACACGGGAAGATCCACACGTATATGCCTCCCCTCCGGGTCAGGCAGTCAGACGCTGTGCTGGTTGTTCAAAATACAACCACCCTGTGTCCTGTGTGGTTGACTCTGGAAGGTAGCCGGGCTCGATCATTTCTGGTGGGCTTAGGTGAAGGGAAGTAACTTTGCCTTCCCCAAGCATGCACCAGAGAGGTCACCTCAAGGTGGAATTTGGAGATGCCAAAGTGGACCCGCTGATAGGGAAGGATTTGTCTTTGAAAATGGCCAAGTAGGCTTTTTTCCTGGCTCTCCTGCAGAAGGGCAGGGCCGTCTCGGCAAGGCCCCGGCAGGGTGAGGACGAGCCTATGTGTCCAGCCATCACTGACCACTCCTTTCTCTCCTGCAGTGGGCAGCAGACCACGGTGAGCGGCTAGACAGCAGCTGTCCCTTCTCCCGAGGGCGAGCCCCCCCGCAGCAGGTAGGGAACCAGCTCTGTGCTCCTTTGGGGGTGCTCACGTGTCTTGTCTGTCTGGGTTCCTGGGCTGACTCGTGACCGCTCTCCTGAGCCGTGGTGATGAGGAGAGAGCAGGAAATAGGAGAGAGGAGGGTTGCAGTCTGCTCTCTGGAAAGTTCTCCCCGAACACGCAGCCCACAGTGAAACACCCCCTCCTCAAAACACATAGATTCCTGAGATTTTTTTCGTCATTTGATGATTTTTGCATCAACATCTGCAAACAACTGCATGGCCATTGAGAGGAGAGTGGATAAATGAGGTGTGGAATAGTAGACGGCAGTAGCCCGAATGACCTTGGAGGTTCGCACATCAGCGTTGGTGATGGATCCCACAAACAGTGGGCCTCCTAGGGTTTGGGTGCTGGAGGGGCACTTGAGATCACTTCTGCTCCAGGTTTGCAGAGGACCTGGAGGGGTAGAATGTGGGGGTGAGGTGTCAGTCCCCCCAGACCCGCCAGCCATCCAGCTTCCTGTTTCCGGCTGGAAAACGGCTGCTTCTGTCCCTCCTGCTTGCCTGTGAGATCCCCAGGGGGTACCCACACAGGTGTGGGGTGTGAGGCCAGGAGGAAAGAGGCAGCTGCTCTGGTGACCCTCAGGCCCCGTACACCCCCTCCTGGTCATCCATCTGTTTTTGCTGATACCTTCTTCCTGGAAGACCATGGGACTGGAGGCTGAAAAAACCCATCCATCCCCAACGGTCAGCCCAGCCTCATGCTGTACCTGTCCAGAGAGATAGGGGGAGCCTTTCTTGGCTCCTGCACTCACCTGCTCCCAGTTTCAGAGCAGCTCCGTTCACACATTGCCCTGAGCCCACTTGCTTGTGTCTGACTTCTGATTAAATCAACTCATCTCTCTTCTGTCCTAAGCGAAGATGGTCAGTGGCCTCAGTTCTAGATCTTTCTTAGGCTGCCGGCCTTTGTATGCCATGGTGTGGGGGGATAGCTGCCCTCTCACACTACAAGATGTGTGTGTGTGTTTCATTGTTTCTTGGGCAGGAGGCCATAACGAGAACCCTGGGTTGGGGTTGTGGGTCAGGGAGGAGGCAGGAGACCCAGGTTCTCCTGTTTGCTCTGCCACAAACTTGGTAGAAATTCTTTTCGTCCTCAGCTTTCTCCTATAAAAATCAGAGAACTCGATGGCCTCTGAGGGTTTGTCTAGCTTCTCTGTGCCACTTTGTAACTGAAGTCCATGGAGGTGTCATGACCTGACCCAGCTGGGACTTGAACCCAGGTCTCTCACCTGCCCCTCCCCCTATTTGGCCCTTTCCCTTGCTTTACTGTAGTAGGTGTCCTTCCGTGGAGGACTGTTGTCCCTGCCACTAGACTACCGGTGCTTGGTCAGGAACCCCGTGTTATCCTCCCTGAATCCCTCCAGCCATGGCCTGAGGCCCAGAACATCAGGAGCACTGTCTGCCAATTTCCTACATAAAGACTCCTTTAACTCTTCAGTGGCAAAGGCGGGCTTGGATCTGGGGACTCAAGAACCAGAAGGTTCCAGGAAGGGGTTAAAATTCTTGGATAGGGGACATAAGTGGCTGATAAATGAGAGACCAAAAAAGTAGCTCTCTGTTATTTGGTCAGTAGGTATCTGGTGCTGGAATCTTCCCAGAATCTTCCTTTTTTTTTTTTTCTCTCCCCTTTATCACCTTTTCTGGGCCCCCTCTTCCATTCCCTCTGGTCTCATTCTCCTGTCACTCCCAACAGGATTCCAGGGGGCTGCGAATGACTTGTGCTCCCACTTGCCCCTCATCTGCCTCCCTCACCCCACGCTGTCCTTTCATGGCCAGGTTCACGCCCCTGGAGAACAGTGGGTGGGGAGTCGGCCAGACCGTAGGCTGATGGAGCAGGGCTGGGGGCCAGTGGGATGGGGCACCTTGGCACCACGAGCACGAGCTGACCCCCAATCCCACCTTCAGGAAGCAGTTGAACAGTTGGCTTGGGTAAGCGGGGTTAGACAAAATGAATGCAACTGAATTTAAAGAAGAAATCATAAAAGGCTCATATTTGATCATTTCTTGGCAGGTGGAACTGAGACATAGGTTCATTATGGGGGAAGAGCCCCAGGAAGGTGGAGATGGGGTCTGGTTAAAATAAACCTGCCTCAGGGTGCCTGGGTGGCTCAGTTGGTTGAGCGTCCGACTCTTGATTTTGGTTCAGGTCATAATCTCAGGTCATGAAATCGAGCCCCGCATCGGGCTGCACACTAAGCATGGAGCCTGCTTGGGATTCTTTCTTTCCCTCTCCCTCTGCCCCTTCCTCCCCACTTGCTCTCGCTCCCTCCCTCTCTCTCTAAAAAAAAAAAAAAAAAAAAAATTGAAATTAAAATTAAAATTTTAAATACACATATAAACCTGACTCTCTTCCCTGATGTGCCCAGAGGACGAGGCCTTTTTGAGAGGGGTCTCCTGGGTCACAAATTCATGTCGAATCAAACTGTTCCACATACATTTGGCTATCCCCTCAGCCAGCTGGTCAACCTTGAGATGAGTGCTAGGGCTGCCTCTATATCTCTGACCACCCCTGCCTAGGGCTTTGCACACAGTAGTCACTCAGTTAAGACTCCTGAGACTGCACTGAGTTGGCCCAGGCCCAGTCCATGCAGTCAGTCCCTGGTGGGCTCTATTCCTCTCACCACCAATTTTGCTGAGCTTTCTGAGGTCGTTGGGATGGTGGAACAGCTCTGCTACCCCACATTCACCCATGGGGGAGAATTTCAGAGGGAACTAAAGGTAGATTGAAACGGGTGGCTGGCTGAGTTGGCATTCCCCCTTAGCCACATGGGCCCAGGAAAGTGGGGGCCAGCAGGAGGATGCTGAGGTTCTGCATTCTGCCCAGGGAGCTCTGTGTGGCAGGTCACAAACCGTGCCCTGAATGAGTAGCCCAGGTGCAGGCACCATTTGGGGGTTAGCCATGCACTGGCATTATATATTTTGTTATTTCAACTAATGTAAGGAGAAGGGGAAGGGAAAAACCCTTGCCCTCTCTGAGCCCTTTCAGAGATACAAAGTGGGGATAACCTAGGGCAGGCTGAGTCCCATGAGATAAGAGGAAGGGGCTCAGAGGAAATTGGGCTATCTACCTGCCCACAATTGGGATTCAGCCGTATTGGGGAGTATTTGGTGTCCTGGCAGCCTCTTTCCAAGAGAGCTCATCCATCACCTAGTCACTTAGGAAGTTGTAGTCGTTTCCAGCTTTTCACTGTAGTAGGGGAATCATTGTGGAGATGATTTACAGGAAAGTAGCTGATAGGAAAGAGTGTAACCTGGTGCATTTAGAAAATGTCTCAAGGTGCCAGCATGGGATTTAGCATTCAGGGAAGAAAGCCAAAGGCATATGGAAGGTTGTATGAGGTCAGGAGCTAGCAGCTCTTCTCTGTCTGCACAGAAGTGCCACGGGAAGAAAATTAATGTGCACAACAACAGCAGAGCGTCTGATTAGTCCTGATTAGTCCTCCCTGACTGAAGAACTTGTTGGCCTGCAGCGTTGGCTGTTGAGCAAGGCGATGAAATCTTCGCTGGGAGCCTGATGGGCACACTTCCTTATCGGGCAGTTTCATGCAGAGCCCTAGGAAAGTTGGGGGTGTGTTAGAAGTGATGTCTTTGAGTCCTGGCCAATGGCCTGGGATCCCACATTACCTGAAATGATGAGAGAAGGGCACTCCCCTGTGCCATCATGATATCCACTAACAAATGAAGCCTCAGGAAGGAGTGAAAAGAGTCTTGTGCCAAGGGTCCAGAGAACCAGATGTTGGTCCAGGTGTGGCACACATTCCAGTGCCTCTTCTGCAAAATGATAGATTTCTCTGAACCTCTTTGGAAATCTCTTTCATTGTTTCTGGGTCTCCAGAAATGACCAGTTGGATCCAGATAACTGCTAAAAGTAGCAGCAAGTCTGGATTTGTCTGATTTCTCCACTGTTCCCTTACCCTCCCTAATACCTGTGTTGACCTGCAGCTGGGTTCATTCTAGACGCCAACATTGACTTAGACCCAAGAGATGGCAGGTGGTAGGCAGAGGTGAGCCTCAAGTATATGGCTTACCTCTGACCCATAGGAAAGGGTAAAAGGAGTTTTCTGCCAGTCATCTTCTTGCCCTCCAGTAATTATAGTATTTGGTTCAGTGCCAGTTAAACTCATTAATACAAATGATATCTTAGTAGAAATACCATGGCACTTCTATTTAGTCAGTATTTATTGAGTATCTGCTGTGAGCTTGGCAGACACAGATGAGCTGGAGCCTTTGGGCTCATTACCTGTTTGTGGAGTAGAGGCCACTTAACATGGAAGATATACAAGGCACCCAGTTAAGTCCCCCAAAGATATCTCCTGACCACAGATACTGTGGTCATTCCAAAGAGTGGTCCTTTTCGTCTCTGTGGGTAGAGAGATGCCTTGTAGAATATGAGACCTGATCTGTGCTCTCAGGAATGGTTAGGACGCTTGACCAGACAGAAGGGAAGAGAGAAGAGGGTGAAGAGAGAAGAAATGGTGTTCACAAGGCTTGAAGTTGGGTGCAATATTGGGATGTTAGGGCAGCAGGGAGCGTACACCTGGAGTGGGTGGTTTGTGTTGGGGTGACAGGAGTGGTGGGAATGAGGGTGGTAGATGCGGCGCTGTCTGTGCACTCAGCTGAGATGCTGGAACTGCTGTCCAACCCCACCCCTGCTTATGTACCTTGTATATCTTCTGTTGTCTCCGGTGTTCCATCCAGGTAAAGTCTGTCCCCTTGTATCAGTCAGGATAGCCTAGGTCATGCTGCAGCAACAAACAGCCTTGAATCTCGGTAACCGTTAACAACCCATCCAGGACCTAGCTTGATGGAGTAATTGCCATTCTCAGCAGTCACCAGGATAGAGGGAGAAGGACCACTGGAGGGTCTTGCATTGGCAAGTTAACACTCCAACCCAGATATAATACACATTACTTCCCCTCTTAGCTTGTTGCCTAGAACCGGTCACATGGCTCCAC